TTGGTATAGCAGATTTTTTTAACATTTGTTTCCCACTTACAACAGCTAAATAGAAATCATTTTCATTGAAATGCAAACTACATAAAGTTGAGCTGGAAGTAGGTTTAAAATCCTTTCTTCTTACAGCATGTACCCATTTTTGAAGCCTTTCTTTCTCTTTAAGAGGGAACCTTAAATATCAAAATAATAAATGTACATTTGTTTGAAATTTTCAATGTGTAAATTCAATAACATTTTATACTAACTTGTGAAATGACAAGTCTCCCCTAACGTCACTTGAGCTAGTACAATTAAAAGCACTACAATAATTCACCATCTTAACTTGCCCACTAATTGAAATTTGTTTAAGTTAAAGTTTAAAAGTTTAAATCAAAGAACAAAACGTTAAACGAACGATATTATTATTATTTATTGGTAAACAGTCGTATTGATAGTGTGATAAAAAGAAATAGCAACACCATTCTTATCTGCTGTCTTTTTCTAACAGGCTATCTCGGTTATGTTTACATTGGTCTTATGGCGGGTGAGCATTCCAGTTATCATATAGTTCAATGTTCAACACTGTATGCAATAAAAATCTATAAAATATGCAGATTCTTATCATAAATATGCAAAATAATTTTCTATTTTACAAATTAATAAACTATAAGGTTTTGATTAAAAATATTACATAATATAAATAATTTTGTATAAAAAAGTTAATTAAAAAAAATAAGTGGAAAATACAATTTTTCAATTACATGTACAGAATTTGTACATAATATATTTTTATCTAATGTAGTAGTTGCGTAATTATGAATTTACCTCTAGAAAATTCAATATTTATTTTTATTGGTTGATAACTTATCAACAGAGGTTAAAGTGGGAAAAAATTCCAGAGGGGACTAATGTTTCCAAAAAGTTTTAAGCGTTCCATATATAATTTTATGTATAATGTCTAATGTATAAAATCCTAATTTGTTAAAGGGGACGCTTTTTAACCGCCGTCAGAGGTAAGGGGACTGAGTCCTCCTGCGCCCCCCCACTTTAACCCCTGCTTATCAATGTATATTATCATTAATTATTTTTGATTAATAGTAGGTATTTTTACATATGTTAATTTGACTATATTAATGAACAAAGATAGAATAATAATGATTGTTATTATTATTTTTATTATAATTGTAAAATATGTAAAATTTATGCAACTTTCAATATGTATGCAGTTAACATAAATTTTCATTAAAATATGCAAAATAAAAAATAATAAGCCATTGAATCTATAGGTATATTACAAATCATCGACATTTATAATCAAAATCTTTCTAAGTAAATTGTAGAAGAAAAATGTATATTCTTATTTCTATTTAATAAATATAAATCCAGGCCTTCATTATTATTACCTATATTAGTAGTATAGTAACTACTGACAAGTATACTAAACAGTATCAAAATATTATTTAAGGATTATACTTCATGTGTTTGGTTCACCAGGTACCTATAATTCTCTTATGTCTGTATTAAATTTACATTTTTATATTTTATAATTTATTAACTGACAGCAAGAACGGGATTATTATACAGTTATGTGAATGAAAATAAGGGTGGGTGGGTAATGGTTGATACTTAAGTTACTTGATAGGTTAGGTTGTTTGAGGAAGTCAACCTTTAATTTACCATTGTGTATTTAGCTAAAAGTATGTATTTCTATAAATAGGTGGTAGTTAAATCATAAGAATTAAATTGCACAGCTCATAATAAAAGATCATGTCACTACTGTGTGCATGTACTTGATTGTTTTAGTTGATGACAAGCTTTATGTTGCCAGTACATACCACCATAATATTAAACAAATTATTATTTGAAATGTCATATAATCGATAACCCAGCTTTTGAAGTAATAGTTTATAAGTCGCAGGTACATTCTAAATCTAAAACATATCATACATGTATGATTTATTTATAAGGTATGGAACTTGTTAAACTAAAAATTATCAAAATATGCTGTCAAAATCGTCAAATAATATGCAGTTAGTTTTGATTTTTTTTTTTAAACATAGAATATAATATTACAATTATTTTAGAAACCAAGAATTATATTGTTTTCAGAATAAGAACATTCACTGGTCTGGTTCTAGTTTTCGCATCCGCTCTTCCACAATATATATTTTCTCTAAATTGGGATGTACCTACCTATACATTGTTTTATTCAGACACTATTGCATGTTTTGTGGATATTTAAACTCTTTAAAGAAATAACTTTATTTTTAAAAAACTTGCGCACGTACAATGTAGGTACTGAGTAAAAATATAACGTATAACTAAGTACCTACGAATTACGATCACTGTGATAAGCGAACACGTATGTACTTATTTGAAATATCTTCATGAAATTAAGAAAAAAGATGCCAAAAGATTTTACCACAACTATACTATTATTGATCATTAATCGGTAAAGATACCCGTAAAATCTTACATACTCTAGATAATTTATTTAAAAAAAATATTTTAGAATGTTATCTAAATACTATTTTTCCCGAAAATTGTGTGTATATAAAAATAATAAAAAAGTAAAAAAATATACAAATTCAAACTTAGTATTTAATTTCGTAATTTTTTCACTATTTAATTATCGTGTCATGAGTTTTATTAAATTTATTATTAGCAATCATTTTTTTTTACCATGTCCCAAAATATACCTACATATATAGGTATACGAAAGTTCCAGCCTTTTCTGGTTTAGACGTTTGATATTTTTGATTTTGTTTTTATAATATTTTATCTTTAATATTTCTGGTTAAGTTATTATTATTGTCTTTTAAAAATACTTAACATAGATGAGCACAATTTTTTTTATAAGCACTTGACGATTAAATTTCTTCAAAATTTACGAAAATTTGTAAAGATTTATGTAGTTAACATCTTTTCAATATTATTTGCTAAAAACTAAACATTCAATATAAGGTTCATCATAATTAAGTATAGATGAGTTCATATTGTAACATCTGTAACCAAAATACCTTAAATATTTATAAGCATAATAATTATTTTAATATTTTAATTTTTAATTTGGACTAAATTAGATACCTAGTTGACAAAGAGTCGAAGAATAACGGTTTTTGTTATTTTGTTGTAATTCAAAAATAATAGTATTTATGTGAACATGAAGCTCTTACTGTAGGTACATTATTATATTTTTATACTTATGTATAAAGGTGACTATACTAATAAGAACGTTTTCTAATGAGATATGTGCCTCCACGTAATTAAAAACTATTACATTACTTAACTGCAGAATATGTACTATAGATATTTGAAATTCTTCTCAAATATATATTATAATATGTATTTTCGATAAATACTATTAATTTCAAATAATTATTTTTCTTTATGAGCTATTTATAGTAATTTATTGATTTTTAAATTTTTTTTAGAAATGCCGTTTGTTGATAGCAAATGTACGAAAAGATGGCAGTTTATTAATATCAAGATAATGAGTTAAGTAACACAATGTTTAAAATACGTGATTATGACTGTATTACGTACTTATATATTCAAGTAAACAACAAAAATATATTTTAAAATTATATTTATGCATCTTCAAGATATTTCAACGGTACCTATGTGCCCTTAATTTATGTTTTATAATCCGTTTGTACGAACAAAAATGCTTGATTTCAGATATTATACAGAATAAATTTCCAGAGGGGTATATCTTGGATAAAATTTTAGCCAATCGACAAGGTAATGTATTCTATTAGCCTACCAAAAACATACAATCTAAAATTCGCCAGAGTCTATGGTGGGCAGAGGGGAGGGGATCGACACTTATCCCGCTTGGATCAACGCCTGATTGATGGTAGTCACAGAGAAAAAAGTCCCGGAAAAAATGTATCTAGAAAAAATCTTAAAGAAAAAAGTCTGTTTTATAAAGACAATAACTATAATAATAATTATGTAACGATAAAATAGCTAAGAAATTCAAAAGATATATTTTAAAAAATATTTAAAAAAATATGCCATTAACTAATAATATGATTAAAAAATAATACATATAGTATACATAATATATCATTAACTTGGATGACTTGCCAGGAACATTTTTACAAAATAGAAAAAATATAACACATATTTATAATAAAATAAATTAAAAATTATTATCGCTGTAACTCTAAATATTTTGAACTGTAGATTTCGAAAAATCTTTACGCGTCACTTGATTACCGGTAATCCTGACTCCTGAGGCGGAGTTGTCGTTAATGGTGTTATTTGAAAAACTTGTAACTATGCGATCTCGAAGCATTGGTAGCCTCTCAACGAGGTACTAGCCAGCGGAGTCACCACTCGCTTCACCTGAAGAGTTTTACCAGCTAATACGTCAAACAGCTGCCGAGTCCATTAAATTCCAACACTACCAAACGATCGGTTTGCAAGCGGCATGGGTGGCGGGGTGACCGGAAAACCCGGCACGTACCTCGTTTAGAGGCTATTCAATATACAGCCTCTGTCTGCTTAATCATTGTTCGGGCGATTTCACTTCGCTGTTCGCCCAAGGACAAGCGTTGTATTCACGTCACATGGACAAGCGCACGACTCTCACAAAGCATATAGGCCCACAAATTGACACACGCGCACTAACTCACAAACAAACGTGGTCACCCAATTTTTAACCTGCCCCCTTTCAAACCGTGACGTAAATCTTAAATGA